GTTCTTATAACGTCTTGTTTATCAACTTGAGCAACTGTAACGCAACCAATTTCCCCCCTTGGGGATCAATAAAGTATTTCTGATTTCCAATCCACAGTCCTCTTTTTGTACAAAATTAAAAACTCTGTCTTTGTTTCCCTCTTGAACTGCAGTAAAAGAAACAAAAAGAGTGAATTTTGTACTAAAAAGACTTTAAGTCCACTTAATTTATTTAACTCAGACTGTTGAAGTTTCATATTTGCTTCACATAAACGTGAACACATTTTTTCACAAAATGAGGACTGTGGAAGGGATGTTTCAATGTCAGGAGGAATGAATACAGCAAGCAAAGCCAGCTCACTGTTATTGTTATTAGATAGACTTGAAAACGCTGACGTTATCCTTCAAGAGGTCAATGTTCACAGAGATTTTAGTAAGAAAACACGCCCTGGAACAATAAGAGCTCAAGATAAGAAGCTGATGCTTACGTCAGGGCTTTCTGGCGAGCAATGATGAAGTCCGGTCTCCCTTCTTTGAAGACTATCCTGGCAGAGGCCTGAACCCACAACCAGTGTCCGGTTTTAGTGAGCAGCCGGAAGAACGTGAAGCCACTGTCTCCGGTCTTTATCACTGAGGACAGAGCAGGTAAGCTTTAGAATTAACACAGAAAGCAGGAACTGTAAATAGGTTAATAACAGTGGATTGATTCTAGTGCATGTGTCTCGTACTGTAACTCACTCTTGAGGTGGTTGTCAGCGCAGTACATCATGTCAGCAGCGTGGATGAACTGATAGCCGGAGCCTGTGGTGACCAACTCTATCTCTGTGTATCCTAAAACCAGCTTCCCCCTGAAAAGAAACAAATAAACACAATGACAGAGTTACAGACGCTGATCTGGTTCCATCTACAGTCAACAATCTGGTGTAAAAGAGATATTTCACCAAAAAAATAAAAGCCAACCTGGTGTCTATGCCCACAGGAGCAAAGTCCATCCTGTGTTTAGTCTGGAATATGAGCGTCTTAGTCCGGATCTCCATGACCGAGAGAGGCTGCAGAGGAGTGGCGATGGCAAACAGAGCCAGCTGAGGAGGAGCCGCCGTCCCGTCAGCCTCCGTGTTTCCCTGCAAATGCAGGTACTTCAGACGCCCGGTGAAGTTTAGAGCCTGGAGAGGAGACAAAGTTAAACATCAACATGTTAGCATTGTCACTAGTCAGCTTCCATCCCATCCAGATGCAGAGTTTTGTTTCCACCCACTACTGTTTACGTGAATATGAGAAGTTGGTTCATCGAGAACAGTAGGTGGCGCTAATTCTCCATTCAGGTGTAGACAAAGAGGGCGGAACAAGCCTAAGTCAAGCCTCAAATGGTGGAAACAATGTAGAAAACAACGTTTGTTTCATGTGTCAATGTGAGGAAGGTTACGTTCTCCTCTTTGGCTCTTCACACAGATCTGATGTTTTCAGCTCTTTAGTGGAAGTTTGAAGATCCACCGAAGAGCAGAAAGGTTGAGAAAAGTTCCCACTATATAATTTTAGCCATGATTTTCCGACGAGCTACAGCCAGTGAGAACTGAGAACAGACACTAGGTAACTGCTAAAGTATGATAAGATTAACTGCTGTTAGTTATTAGTTTGTTTAATGGTTTAATAATGTGTGTATCGATAAGTGATGCAAACTGAACAGGCTAACTATCAGCTTATTGTACTCTAATGGCAGTATGCTGTAAATGGTTTCCCTTTGTGCATGTTTTTAAACTAATTAAACATGATGTGCTTGTTATTAATGACTCCTGATGTTTGCTGCACTTTGTTGCATTTTCTTTTTATCGATACGACAACTTTTTTTTCATAGTTTTGGCGTTTCGACTCCACAGCGCTGCTAGCATGGCTGCAGATTCTTAATCTTGTGTAACACATGCTGTTTATGATGGTACCAGGAATCCGGAAGTGTTGTCCAGGAGGCAGCGAAGGCGACAACAGAAGCTTCTTTCCAGGAAAGAGGAGTTCTCTGGAGGGATGTACTGAGGCAACAAGCTCACAGAGCTGCTCGAAGCTTTACTGCCGGACTGCCCATCTGCAGAGGAACACCATTAATCTCACACAGTATTTATACTGTATCACCATATCGGTCCTCTAGGTTCATCTGCATCTGATATAACAATTACATCTCCATGTAGGATCAATATGGTGTCTCTGTGTCTGAAAAGCTTTTAAAAAAGACACAGACACTTAACCACATCATATAAAAGATGTTCTAAGTAGAACTAATGATGATGATTTAAGTTTTTTAAGTTTCATTTTTGATTAATTCTTTTCTTTTCTAAATTTCCAGGTTTTCCAGGATGCTTGGGAACCTGAATAAACCGTGTGTTATATTTGTGACAGGTAGATATTGATGAGTTGATTCATACCTTCTGCTCTCACATCGCTCTCGCTGGGGTTGAGGGCGAAGTGAAGCTGACATTTGAACATCTCTCTGTCGTCCATGTGAACGAGATGATACACACTCTGGTGGACCACATCGGACTGATGGCAGGAAGGGAAGGAGTTTACATTTACTCAAGTACTTAAAGGCATAATGAGTCATTACACTGTGTTTGGTGTCACAGCTTTACCTGATGAAAGCCCAGGAAGTCCTGGATGGTCGGCGATGTGTAGAAGACCGTGCCATCAGTTGTCACAACCAACACAAAACCATTTAAAGCCTACAGAAATAATGAAAAATACAAGATGACACACACACACACACACATATACTGACAAATACACAGGTTTAATGTAATGTTTTTCAGCTGTACCTGGAGGAGGAGATCTCCCTCTGAGAAACTGACTCCATCCAAGGACACTGACTGTCCATTTCTACCGTTCGCAGACACAGGTGGAGCTGACCTCTTCTGAAGCGCTGCTGCAATTAACAAAAGCAAAGAAATCAATAAAACAACTCAAAAGACTTTTAACGCTGCCAAAAGGGAAAAAAAAGTGAGTTCATCAGGCAAGTTAAGGAGGACAGAAATAATTGCACACTGACAAAATCTGCAATAGGAGAATAAAAACATGTCATGATGTCCCTAAATGATTTTATCTTACAAGGCTTTAAAAGATAAAGGGTCAGTTCAGCCAAATTACTAAACCGAAAAACATGTTTTCTCACTATTTAGCCTCACTGCCAACAGTGTTCATTAAATTGTCCATATAATAAATGTTGATATTGAGGGCTGGGATATCCAGAGTTACAGGAACATTGTTCCTATAGCTGTGAGTCCCATATACTAGTGTAATGTCTCCTTTATTCACCTTCATTCTATCGAAGTGGCAGCAGAAATAGGATTTTATATGAAATTTTGTTACCCTTTGTAACCCTTTCATTTGCAGATTAAAGCATTTCTCTTTCTCCAGTTTTCCTAAAGATTTAAAGAAGATTTTCAAGTACAAATACCACAAATCTTGGAGCAACTTCTACACAAATCTACACTTGTGAACACAAAAATTAAACATCTTTGAGTTCAGTGTATAAAGTTAAGCTGGAAGTGGATGTTTGCAGGCATTAGTGTAATTGTTAAAGCTGCTATAATACATTTTGTATCATCAATGGAGCTATTGATTTGACTTAAACTGCAGAGAACTATCACCCGTTGTAGTTCCCCTCAGCTCTACAGAGATTTTGAGGGTCTTTCAGCTCATTGTTTTGGTTTTAATGTTTCGGTTCATTCTCACCGTTCTCATATTTGCAGTTTCCAGCAGCAACAGGCAGCTGTTTTAATTGATAAAGCTCTGATAAACTCACAGTACACCAACTGCCCAGCACCAAACAACAAAGTGACACAGTTAGCAACCATCTGGTGGAGCATTTAGCAGCTCAAGAGCCAGATATTCCCCCTCAGGAGAGCCCAAAACAGAGCTTAAAGAGAATAAAACTGGACCTGTTCTGATTGGACAAGCTTGATTTATCTTCTGAAATGACCAAAGTTTACCTTTAATTTAAGACTTATCATTACATGCAGTGACTCCAAGAACAAAAGCTCAATGCTGTTTGGTATCCAGTGTGTTTCTACAACACTTGCTGCATGTGTCTTCGCTGCATCCCTGCTAATGTTTCACCGGTTTATTTGTGGAACAGACAAAGTATCAGTGACGTCCTGCAGGCTGAACGCAGGCAGCTTTTACCTCCATCAGCAGGACAACCAAGAGCGTTTATGTGTACACAGCTGCACAGTGTCCATGTTATTAGTGTAAGATGAAGGCCTGCAGATTGCACCCAGAATTAACCACAAATGAAGCTCACCAAAGTAAGCAGGAAATACTGTCCGTCTACATTTTTGGTAAAACCGGAAAGAACAGCACTTTTCTTTTTGTGTTAAAAAAAGAAGTGATTTTTTAAGATTTGGCAAAATGTTGCATAATCTAATCTGTGATCGCTGGCATTCATTCAGCTAAGAAAAACCTCCTTTCCTTACAGTAATGACTCTATGGCACGCTAACAAACTTCCCTACCCTTCCCCCTACTCCCACCACTCTCCCTCCCCTTTTTAAACAAACCCACTGGATCTGCCTCTCGTCTACCCCCCCGCCTCGCCCACCAGCAAACCCAGGAATTTGCACTGTCATCTCGGTCAAGAGCAGCTTTCTACAAACTCAGACGCCTGAAAGAATCTGGAGTTTGTTATTACAACACAAACTGCAACCGGCTGCAATGAGTCGATTACGTCAACATGTGACGGAGAAACTGGACACAATGTGAGACATGCAAAAGTTAGAACGAAAGACTGAACAAATCGGACAGTTTTACTGAAAAGTGGACTTGTTAAACCTGAATCTGTAACCCTGCCTCCCTTCACTTCCATCCTTTCCTACCTCCCTTCCTCTTCCTCTTCCTCCCCTGTCCTCTCTCCCCGTATCCCTCCTCCACTCAGCACTGTGGAGCTTTCAAGGAAGAGGGTTCACACGCAGAGTCAGTACACAGCCGGCCTGAAAGGGAGAGCTGTAACCCTTCAGACTCAGCTGAGAGAGAAACAAGGCTAAAACTGAGAGAATGCTTCTGCAGACCTGCAGGTCAGACGATGGAAACTCCCTCCTCAGATACCTTTACGTGGCCTGAAATGCGGCGCTTGTTTTGAAAGCGGCAGATCCAAAACAAATGGACTGTACTTGTGTATCAGGCCTTTCATAGCCTGCCCGGCCAACATCATAAAGCGCTGTTTACACTAACGTGCCACATTTCACTCCTTCCACACACATTCACAACGTGATATGCCATTCAACAGAAAACTAACACATTACACATCCCGATCTGCACAGTACTGGTGACATTTTGGGGTGTTAGGATCTTGCTCAAGGATACTTCGACATGTGGCAGGAGGAGCCGGGGATCGAACCAACAACCTTCCAATTAGGGGACGACCCGCTCTGCCTCTGAGACACAGTCGCCTACAACAAAGCACAGCCCAGTTCGCAGTTTCAGTGCCCATTCAGATCCAGATGCATCCTCGTTAGAGTCAGTGTATCTGCTCCATTATAGTGACAATCTGACATTCACAGTGACCGATATATTGCCCGGCCGATATTTGACTACAGGAGACATATCGGTATCGTATCTGTGCATATGTGCTGATATGAAAACTGTTTTTTCCTGGTATATAATGCAGAAAAAAACTAATATATTGGTGTCACTGCAAAGCTTTTCCAGCAGAGGGCCCTGTGGTTTACAAGACTGTACTGAGCAGCACAGAGTAAGAGAGAAGACTCCGCTCTCAGCAACTAGAGTTGGTTTACAATGTATGGGTTAAATTAATTAACATGTTAAAGAATATATAACTTAAATATTCTTTAATAAAGTTATTGATTTAAGAAAGCAGCTTTCTGGTAACCTTTGCATTGTCATATTGATCATTATATTCATTCATATCGGTAATCAGTCAATTTTCCCATCGAAGATCGGTATTGTATCAGCCTTAAAAATCTCATATCGGTCGGGCTCTATTACCAACTTTTACTAAAAAGCACTAAACACAAAGTACAGCTGAGTCTAATAAAATCTATTTATTGACCTGTTAACGGGGAGTCAGGAGAAATTAACAAAGTCATTATGATTCATCCTGAGGGGATCATGAATGTGCAAAGTTTCATAGCAATTCCTTCAGTAGTTGTTGAGATATTAAAGTCTGGATACACATTTCCCTTCATGGAGTCAAGTCACAAAAAATAAAACCTGATTCAGTGCTAAGATACTGAGAAGTTCACACTTTTGTTGATCCATGTCTTACTAAATAGGTCACGTACTGCTGTAAAACTATCCCGACGTCGTGACTGTGAGATACGCAGCAGAGACAGCATCAGCTCTTAGTTTATATATTTCTGCTTATCTTGCAGCCATCAGCAGAAAGCTCCTTCCTGTGTACAGAGGTGTCTGACTGCACCAACTGTCTATCTTCAGAGGAGATGAACTCTGCTCTTGTTTGAGGCTGAATTCAGGTTAAGCTGTTGGTTAGCAGTTGGCAGTCTGACCTGATAACGAAGGGTTTATAGGTGAAGGGTTGTTTTTGTGGTTCACGGCACCTGTGATCTGATTTAAGATATCTTCAGAGTCTTAATATCTCATGAAACTAGATCTAATCTTTCAGTTCAGGTCATTTCTTTACTTCTTTTCCGTTGATTTTTTGGCCACTTGAGGGGAGCGCAAGAATCTGTAAAAACTACATTAACATATCTTCTAACATTTTAAAGATGTCAGGTGAATATCTTTGCAAACAGTTCACACACTGAGCAGACTGGGAGTAATAATTATTATATAATATATAATTATTGTGCATCCTTAAATGAGCTGAGACGTTCCATAAAGCTAAGTGTTAAATTAAGGCCTTTGAACATTAAGTCCATATTTTTTGTACGCACTTTTTATTTTTCTATTTGTTGCAAAATTCACAACATGAGACAGGAGTGGTCACGCAATGAGGATGATTTTTGTGCGAAAAAATGCCAAAAATCAAAACTTTAATGATGGGTGAAAGTTTCAGAGTCGGTATGTAAACAATAACATGATTGACACTTTATGTTGTATTTATTTTTGCGTAAGTGCGACAATTTGGATGAATAATACAGACTGGGTGTGCAGTGGCAAGTATATATAACTATTTTAACCCATTTTAAAGACTCTCTTTAGGTTTTCTATATAAAACTTTAAACTGAAAAGTAATTTAGTTGTCAGATAAATGTAATGGAGTAGAAGTATAAAGAAGGTTAAGATAAAAATACTCAAGTAAAGTACATGAAAACCGTCCTTAAATGAACTGTCATATTGTGTTGATTATGGCGGCCCCTCTGGACAAAAGTTGTAGTGTTTTCATTTCCTTGTTTCATTGATTTCAAGGGGAATCAGGCATTAAGAAAAACTATATAAAAATAG